AAAACTCCGGTTTCATCTTGGCTCTCCTGAGGTCTGAGCTTTCTCTCAGTTCACACTGAAGCCACAGCAAACACCCAACTTGAAGATCAAAGCAGGCCCTGCCTCCCTCCAACCCCAGGAAACAGAAGGGGTCATTGAGATTCAGGCCACCTTCAACACAGAGCAGACCTCAGGCCCCCAGATGGGCTCCCACTCCACTCCTTTCTGCAAGACACACAGGGAGAAGTGGAGGTGGACTCTTTAGCTTGAGAACAATAGGATGCCAGAAACCCCCCTGAGAAGAGGCACAGGAAGATGAGAGATTCTGAGGGGACACTGAAGGAAGGGGGGGTCAGGGGAGGACAGAAAGGAGCCTCACATGGTTGAATGGGCTATTGTCATGGATTCGTGGATGGGTTGGAGGATACAGGACAAAAGCCCACCTTGGCCTGTACTAAGAGATGGGTGGCCTCACTTCCTTCCCTGAAGTTCTAAGCCCTGGTCACTGACTTTGTGGCCCTCAGGTCCCACACAAACACACCAATCTCCCTGATCCAGGCAAGGCCTGAGCTGGATTCCTCATTCCACAGTCCACACACCCTGGGGTCACCCAAGGTTGTAGAACTGGAGGTGTAGGATGGGGGTCTCAGCTAGGGTCTCTGCCCAGGCTCTGCTGAGACTCAGGGACAGACTGTCCCTCCCAGAGCCACTTGTCCCCCAAGAGATGAGGGGGCATATCTGCCCCAAAAGTGCACACTAATGAAAGTGATGGTGTGTGAGTGGGCGTCAGTGTGTAAGTGTGCAGGTGGCTGTGTTTACGTGGGTATGTTTGTTTATGACTGTGAGTGTGCTTCTGTGTATGCATGAGGGAGTATGAGAGGAAAAGATAGCGAGTGCGTGTATCTGTGTGTGCATGCAGGTGCAGGTGTGAAAATGAGTGTAAGAGTGCATATGGGTGAGTGCATCAAGGGTTCTGAGAATGTGAGTATGGACTCACTTGGGCTTGTAGATTTCTGCATGCATGTACAAGCATGTGTAAAGTGTGAAAATGTGACTGTGTACATGTGGATACATGCATGTGGGTACACACGTGTGTGTCTGTGTGTACACAATTGAGCGTATGTAAGTAAGCATGAGAGCATGACTGTGCATGGAGAAGTATAGTATGTTCACAGGGGCCAGTCATAGGTGCATGTCCTCACACACAGGAAAGCTGTGCCCTGCTTTACTAGAAGGCTCTGCTGGCTGCCTCACTCAGCCCCTGGGTTAAAGAGAGGAACTCATGGCTGTGAGAACAGGGTCTTCCCCACAGGGTCATGCTGCAGCCTCCTGTGCTGGGAAACCTAGTTGCAAAGCAGCCTGCCTGTGGAGTGACACACAAAGTCCCTGGCCACAGAGACTCCTCCTCCACCATGGCCACATGGCCCTCCTGGCTGGGCTGTTCTGCTCCTGCCATTACAACGGGTGGGGCGGGGGGAGCAGGCCGAGATCTGCCACCTGCATCCTGGGAGTTCCCAACAAACACCTCACCCCAACCACTCAGGGTCACCAAGTCGGAGATAAATTAGCAGGTCACTAACTTCAGACAAGAGAAAGAGGATAGAAATGTGTCACTGAGCCCAGACAGTGAGGGCAGGATAGGGAACACCTTCCACACACAGTCTACACACTGTACATAGAGGACAAATCTGTCCTATGAAACCATGCAATGAACAACTGGTCCATAGACAGTGAGGGAAAATGAGACACGGAGATCATCCTGTACTCCAGGTCACACAACTACGTGAGCATCCCTGAGGCGCTGGGAGACCCACCCACTTGAAAGTCCACCAGTGCCCATCTGAGTCGACATCTGGGTCACCACACTTCACCCGTACATCAACCCAGAAAGCTCAGCCAAGCTGGGACAGGAAAAAGACATCATCCCAAACCATTGTGAGCCCAGCAAGCAAAGGCTGACAGCTTTGATGGCAAGCAGAGACAGGGCACAGACGCCTGTGATCATCGTGATTTCTGTCACCCTGTCTACAGTTAAGAACCCAACAGAAACTGCAATGTACTTCCTTTTACATTTATAGGAAACTTAACTAAAAGCATATATTGTGCACCAGGTGATGAACCTCTGCTATTTCAAAAACAGTAAGTAGTAACAGTAATCCTGACTCACCCCAGCCAAAAAGCAAGCATTTGGAAGCTGTGCAGAGGAAGGTGACACAGGCAGGAAGCTCCAAGCTGGCAGAGGTCTGTGTCTTTTGCTCGAGGCGAACGAGGCGCAGGGCAGGGGGGACTACTGTGGGTGGGAGCCCCAAGCCAGGGGTTGGGCCCTGCTCAGATCTCCTGGGAGTCTGTGTCCTCTACACATTGATTTTCTCCACCATGCACCTGTCTTTATTTCCCCACTAAAGCCCCACGAGCCTTCCTGCAGAGCAAGGACTTGAACCCAGGCCCTACTGCAAAGTACTGGCTCTTTTCTGGTCTCCTCGGGGCTATCCTTAACAGGAAGGCTTGCAGGTCTGAGCTGGAGGGGAGGAGCTCACATGTGTGCCTAGAGAGTTTCCCTGACTGACTGGTCCTCAGTACTTTCCTGGGGGCTCAGTACCAGGAGTCCCCCCACAGGGACCCTGAAACAGAGTCCCACTGTACATGCAACAAGGGCAAACCCCCTGCATGATATGCTCTGTCTTTCAGCCTTTTTCATGCCTGCCTGGATATTGCCTGCCTGAAATGCAGAGCTGAGGAGGCAGCGCCATCAGCAGGTGACTGTGCTGCAAAGGTAACAAAGGGCCTGATGGGAGGTGGCTGGCGGCAAGGCACTGAGAAGCAGCAAAAATGCCAACACCACCTTCCTCACACATCCCGAGTACCAAGTTGCACAGCTCATGACGGATGGACTTCACAGGCGCCTGGAATTTTGCAATGAGAAGACAGGACCCACAAACAAAAGACACACACACACACAATAGGTTTCTCTCTCTCCATTCCTGTTGATCTGTCAATACTACTGCCACCTGTATTGACTTGAGTTTGAGCATTCTAAAGACGGAAAAATGATTAAAAGTGGTATAAGGTTTCCAATATGTGTTTAGCCATTAAGAACCTTTCACCTTCACGATATCCCTGCAGCAGGGAAAAGGAGGGGGGGCTGTGCTCCCTTTATATAGGTGGGGAAACTCAGTATAGGAACGGTTTACATTGCCCATGGAGGTAGCAGCAGGGAAACTCAGTGTCTGCTCACTGAAAATTCTTGCTTCCAGGATGAACTTCCTCCACCCTCCCCTCCTCCCAGAGTAACAAGGGCTCCACTTATCCCAGAAGGAGGAGCAGAGTCATTTTTGTAGACACCCCATCCTTTTTCATCTTTTCTCTAAAAGGAATGCCTACAGGCTATATTACTTATTTAAAAAGAAGATAATAATATGACCTTTTGTGGCACCTGCTGGCTCCCTGGTAGGCACAGGGGGAACACAGTGTGATAGGGATACCTGGGCTTTCTCCCCACTCAGAGTTGCCCTGGGATCTGGCCACTCCTTCTGGTCAGAGTGGGATACAGGTCTGGCTGTGGGGAGCAGTATGAGTCCCAGGCTACGCAAAGAAAAGGGTGACCTAGGAAAGGCATGGGAGTGCCCCCTGAGAAGGGTCTAACAGGGTCCACCTACTGCCCTCTGAGAACCCTGCCCACCAACCCTCCATCTCTGTTCCCTTCTTCCCCACCTTTCTCCTTGCCTCTTCTCTGCCTTTGGCCCTCACCCCTACTTTTCTTCTCTTCCCCACACCCCACAATCCCTTTTGCCAGCTGGGCTCTGCATACTCTCTCCTTCTTCCCTCCTGAGTCCTGCCTGCCCATTGGTACCAGCACCTGCCAGGCTGTCTCTCTCTCTGGCACCAATCCCTGTGTCAGGCTCCTCTAACCAAGTGCTACCCCAGCATCAGGACCAGCAGGGTGTTGGCCCTGTTGGTCCCCCAGGCGCGCGCACGCACACACACACACACGCACACACACACACACACACACACACCACCCCAATCACTTCCCCAATCTGCAATCTGTCCAGCTTCCCTGCTGGTCCCCAATTTCTTCCCAGTTTGCTCCCACAGAGCCTCCCCTCTCCCCTCCCTTAGATGGACTCCCCCACCCCAACTACTAAACTGTATCAAGAGCCAGAAATAACCCCCTCAGCCGACAGCGGTGAAGTGGGTGCAGGAGACCCTCCCCAGCCTCTGGGAGGGAAGGACCACCTCTCACTGGGTGAGGTGGTCCGGTAGGAACAGGCGCCTCCAGGATCCAGGTGGAGCCCACCGAAGGCAGACGTCCTGTGCGTCCTTGTCCTTGCCACCACCTCGCTTGACAAGCAGGGAAGACAGTGACAAAGTTCAGGCGCTGCAGAGCTAGGGTCAGGGAGACCGCGCACAGCGGGAGCTGTAGGGACCGGACCGGACCGTGTGTGACCTTGGGAAACCCTGCTTCTTCTGAGCCAGAGTCAGCTCCACAACAGGGTGGCTAGGGAGACTGAAGGGGTCCAAAGCACCTTCCCCCGCCCCTACCTGCTCCCGCCGGGTCCTCGGAACTGAGAAGCGAGCCCCAAGCGCGCTCCAGGCGAGAGGTAGAAGAGCCCGGGGACTGCGCGCATCGCCAGCCCAGGGGCCCGCGCCCCCCGGTGCTTTCAGCCCCTCTGCGGGGACCTGAGCAATGACTGAGCCCTGCATCCGGGCTGTGGCCCCGCTTGGCCGCCTGACCTTGGCCAATCCTCCCCCTCTCTACACCTGTCTTGCGCCTCCCCACTGCACGCCCAGAGACGCTTTGTGGACTCTGTCTGTCCGAAGGCGCCATTCCGGACTGCATCCCCACCTTACTGAGTGACCTTGAACAACACCCCCACCCTCCCCCCGAAAAAAATCAGGACCTCAGTTTCCCCACTCGCCCAATAGGAAGAAGCGCGCCCAACTCCTGGCACACTCCCAGTCCCAATGGGCAGGTATGTCTCAGAGCAAATTGGGGGAAGGGGGCCCGTGGTGGCACTCACCGTCCTCCAGAGACGTGGGCGCTTGGCGGGGACCAAGGTGGCCGTAACCAGTAAGTGCGAGGCGGCCACCAGCAGCCCGAAGCCGATGGCCAGCAGGCTGCGCACGGGCAGCAAGGCATAGGACACGAAGGTGACCAACAGAAGCTGCCAAACTCCCTGCTCAGCGACCGCGGACCCGGCAGCCGCCCCGGCCGGGCCCCTAGCGGGGCCACCCAGCGCGAAGGGACAGCACAGCAGCGCGAAGGTGAGGCTGAAGAGCAGCGCCAGCTGGCCGACCTGCTGCAGCTGGGACACCTGCAGGGACCGGACATTGGTGACCACCAGCAGCGCCAGGAAGAGCACGCAGTGCACCGGGTGCGACCCCTTGGCCAGGCCGGGCGCGGGCCCCGGCGCGCCCAGCAGCTCAGCCAACGCCAGCGCGCCCGCCAGCAGGCTGAGCACGCGCAGCGCCTTCCGCGCGGCGCCCCCGCCATCTCAGCCGCGCGGCGCCGCGGCCACCGCCATCTCACGCCATCAGGGGCGGCCACGGACGCGCCCCTCGCCGGCCCGGGCTCCGGGGCCGCGCGCGGGGCGGCGGCGCACGCCGGGCGGGGGCGCCGGCGGGCGCCCGCTGCGCGCGCGCCCCGAGCGCGTCCCCTCCCGCCCGCCCCGCTCGTCCCGCGCGCGCTTGCGCACTGGCGCCCGCCCGCGCCCTGGCCGTGGTCCTCGGTGGCGATCGCGCTGCGACAGCCCTAGTCCTGAACGTTCGCAGCCCAGTGGCCGCGTGACCTTGGGCACCTCCCTGCCTTTCTGAGACTCAGTTTCCCCACCACCACCACTACCACCCTTGGTTGCCTGTAGGAAACGTTAAGGAAAAAAAAGCTGAAATTCCGCGTTGGGGGGTAGAGAGAGTTCTGCCAAATGTGCGCCCCCTCCCCAAATGAAACCAGCTCATTCGGAAGGAGTGTGGACTCAGCCAAAATCCGGAACAAGCGACGCCCGAGGACTAGGGCGGTGGGAGGGGTGGCAGTGTCAGAGCCCACCCCCACCCTCCCGTAGTCTTAGGTGCGTAAATGGGGCCCTCCCTCAATGTGCCTGGTCGTCCCTGGGGTCCTGAAAATCCTGAGCGGGTGCAGGGCGGGAACTGCGCCCAGGGAACTGCAGCGAAGTTCCAGGTTAAGTCCCCTAACCCCCGAGTGGCAGTAGGATCCCAGCCCCTCCTGCGTGCTGCACTGAGCCAGGAGAGGGTCCTATGCTGCTGTGGCAGGGAACGGGGAACGAGGTGTGGGGTTGTAGGCTCAGGAAAGGCCAAGTGATGAACCACGAAACAGCGCGGCTGTCTGCCCTAAATAGGAGCTGGACACCCAGATGATGGGTAGACGTTTGCTTCCTGCAGGACAAGTGGTAAGGACTGGCCTCGGGCACCAGGATCACATCCAGTGGACATTCACTCTCTATAAGCAGGAGGACTTGGTACTGGTGCCTCACAGTAGTCATCTCATTTAGGCTGGCAGAGTAATTCAAATTGTAGAACACCTACCTAGCAAGCATGAGGCCCTGAGTTCAAATCCTAGTACCACCCTCCCCCCAAAAAAAGGCAAAAAAAATAGTCATCTTATTTGGTGTTCAGGGTGGGCCCCTTGGGGTCGCTGCCTCTGTCCCCCTTTAGTGAGCATTCCAGGTTATCAGGCCTCTCCTGAGGGTCCAGAGTGGAGTCAGGACTACAAGTAATCCTCTGTGATCTTTTTGGATAATCCAGGGACTGGGGGTCCCCTGTGGCCAAAGCCTAGCCTGCCCTATTTGGAGAAACTCGATTTAATTGATCCCACCCAAATATTAGGGTATTTTAGAAGCCCGCAGGAATTCCCACGGCTCTCAGGGTGACCATCACTACACACCTGTTGCTATACGGGCACAAAGATTATATGTGAAGTATTTATAATTAGTATTAGATTAAACTACATGAAACTGCCATTTTTGTGAAGTCCAAAGCAGTCACCTATCAACTCTATCATCTGTCCGTGAGGATGCTTCTTGATCAGGTGTACATTCCCACCCCATGTCCCCAACAGCTCACACCAAGGCCCCCAGGGCACACATGGGGACCAGCTGATCCCTCCCCTTGGTGTGGCCTCTCCAGCAAGGGCACCTCCTCTGGAAACTTTCCTGCCAACAGCCCTGCACCCACAGGGAACTGCTTTCTTCTGGGTCAGCATCCTTCTATGAAGGTTAGCTCCATAACCTCCCTTCTTTTGCCTGAAGCAGTGGAGGGTGGCATGAGAAGGTGGCTTGTTTCTCATTAACTTCATAAACATCGGTTTCATTGTCTGGTTCCCCATTCGTCCCCAAATAGTAACATAGGATCAAGCATAGATCCTCTTGCTAAATGGTGTGGTGTGTTTTTACATCTTCATGACATTACAAAGTTGAAAAAAAAACCCAAACTTATCAAACTACAAGAAAATTAAAGTATGATAGAGTTCTCAGGGTACAAATTTCCCATGTCACCTGCACCCTCTTGTAGCTGTTTTGGCTCTCAACTCTACCCTCACTCAAAATTTTCTTTGTAGAAAGAGCCAGCTGCCTTCAGGAGTGCCTGAGGGATTTGCATTCAGGTTTGCATGGACAGAAGGTTGCTGGGGGCTGGGGACTGGGGAGACACCATTTGCTTGCAGCTATCTTCCTGTCATTTTCCTGTCTGTCATACCACTGACCCTCCATGGCATCCTGGTACCAGTGTTTCATCCTCTTTGTTTTGTTGATGAAGAAACAGACAATCAGGAGCTGGTCCAGGTCTCAGAGGGGATGCTGGGAACCTGGAGTTTCTCACTCCAAGCCCTCTTGCCAAATAAACCCTGAGAGAGACAAGAGTCATTCATTATCATCACTGTTGTTGTCAGTGTTGAGTTTGTGCGGCAATATATTAATTCCCTCTCCCCATTTGCTAGTTTGGAAGGAGATGCCCTGCAAACAGGCAGTTTGCAGTCAAGGACAAAGAGAACTTAACCTGTGATACAGCAAAGTATTGCTCCCTGTGCTCTCAGTGGGTGTCATAGGTTGACTTGTGTCCCCTCCAAAATTCACATGTAGAAAGGAGAAAAATTAAGGGAATGAACCAATTTGGGTTATAATACGTATACATGTCTGTAAAGAAGAGGTGACCTGCTTAAGGGGAGGTCACTGATGGGAGAGGGACAGTAAAAGAAAGAAGTTAAGAAGGTGAATATGGTTGATGTACTCTCTATACAAGAATGTAGAATTTTTAAGCCTGTTGAAATCACCATAAGAAGGGGACTAAGGTAGAAAGAAGAAAAATAGAGGAGGTGAACCAATTCAGGTTATAATACATATATACACAGAAATGTCACAAAGAAACTCCCTGTAGAGCTATTTTAAACAAACAAAAATGTCTTTTTCAAAAATGGAGGACAGGAAGGTAAAACAGGTCCTATCTGGGGGTTGGCACCAGTGGGAGGGAGGAGGATATAAGGAAAGGGTGTAGGAGGTGAATATGGTGGAGATATTATGTAATCATGTATGAAAATGGAAAAATGAGACCTGTTGAAACTATTCCAGGAATGGGGGGAGGGAGGACAAAGGAGAATGATGGAGGAGGTGAACTCAACTATGATATATTTTGTAAATGACACAATGTACCCCAAGTACGGCAATAATATGATAATAAAAATCTAACTAAAATATAGAAGATTTGAATTGCTTATATTTATACTTAGGACATGTGCAATTATATAGTTCACTGTGCAATAAATTGCATAACTTTAATTTAAAGAAACAAAATTCATATGTGTAAGCTAACCTCCAGTACCCCAGAATGTCACTTTATCTGGAAATAGAATCAATGCAGATACACATATTTAATCTGAGGGCTGAACATGGTGGCACACACCTGTGATCCCAGCTGCATGGAAGGCACAGTATGAGGACTGAGGTCTGAAGCCAGCCTGGGAAAAAACACACAAGATCCTATCTGAAAAATAACTTAAAGCAAAAAAGGGTTGGTGGAGTGGCTCCAGTGGTAGAACACTGGCCTAGCAAGCATGCAGCCCTGATTTCAAACCCTAGTACTGCCAAAAAAAATGGAGATAAAAGTATAGTTAAGATGAAGCTGTCCTGGAGTAGAATGGGAGCACTTCTAATATGACTGGTGTCCTTATAAGAACAGGAAATCCGCACACAGGCTTGCACAAAAAGCACCATGTGCAGATTTGGGATGAAGCTGCCACACCCAAGGACCCATTAGAAATTCAAAAGAGGGGCTTGAATCAGAGCCTTTGGGGGAAACCAGTCCTGGATCTGAGATTTCCAGCCTCCAGGACAGGGAGAAAATAAGTTTCTGTGGTTTAAGCTGCCCCATTCTTGGTGTCTTATTATGGGAATCCCAACCAACCAATCCACACGCCTGTCCTGGATCCCATGATACATACTGAATAATAGCTCAGGGGCTGGTAGAATCACAGGAAGAGAGTCTGCTGTTCTGGGGAGCCCCCATCAGAAGTCAGCAGCTGGAGAGGCACTGCTGATGGCAGCCCCACAGTGTGTGGTGTGTGGGAGGCAGGCATTGGGTTCCCTTTTCTCCTCACAAGACAAGATGGTACTCTTGTTCACACAGAGGGGCTCTCAGGTTCATTCTTCCCTCCTGTTACAGCAGGTGGTTGGTGGCCTTCAGGACACGAGCCCAGCCCGATGCCTCTTGCAGCAATAACACCATCTGTGACTTTGCCCCACTTATAAATCTCTTTTTATTTTTGCCCTGAGGCCTCAAGACTGCAGGGGGGTTGCAAGGTAGCTAATGTACAATAAAAGCCTAATCTGAATTGTCACTATGAACCCCCCCATATAATGAATCTATCCTAATAAAAAATAATAATAAATATTATGCACAAAAATTTTAAAAATATATTATGCACAAAAATTTAAAAAAAATTTTAAAGTCTGCAGAGGGACCTGGATTTTGGAGAATCTAGATGAATTGTGGGGTCATGGTAGGGGTGAAGGGTGTGCAGGGTGGGTCCAGCCTGCAGCCTCAGCCCATCAGGCCCAGATCCAGCTTATAGCCACTGCAGGGGGGGGTGAGCATGTGGTGGCATGGCTAAATGACACCCCAACATCACCCTTCCTGGTTTTGTAACTGTGAGCAAGTTCCTCAACCTCTCCACTGAAAATTGAGGATTTGACACTTAGGCCATTGTGGAACAAGAGGCCCACAGGCACATCAAGCCTGTATTCCCTAGGCACAAAATAAAGATAGTTTTCCCTGTAACAACTCAGTGTTCTACATACACAGAAAAGGGTGAGGATATTCACTCTTCCAGCAAAATGCATCAATTTAGCCATCTAGGTGGGAGACAGAGCCAGGCACCAGTGGTTCATGCCTGTAATCCTAGCTACTCAGGAGACAGAGATCAGGAGGGCTG